TTTTCTCTAAAAAATGCAAGTTCCTGGATAACATTTTTCAGAGAATAATTTTATTTGAAAATATTTGCATTGTCTGGGCTTATCTTTTTAGAATAGAAATTTTGAAGAAATTTTAGTAAACCTTCTTTAGAAAGTCTATATTAGTCTTTGCTCCCTATACCCATCCTCAAGTCAAGATTGCATTCCTTAGATAAACATTCTTAAATCTTCAAATATTCAAATATTATGAACTTTTAAGACAACCCTCGCCGTATGCTTGATAAAATTCCAAACTCCAGTTCCTTTCAGTATAGTGTAGCATTAAAAGTTTGATTTATTGACAAGGCTCCTAATGAGGCGATATCTAGCGCGGGATATCTGTATCTCCCAGACAGGAGTATCTATCAGATACTATCTGATAGAAACCGAGAAAGTGGCCACCATTGATAACTACTTAACAATGATAACAGATAGCACTGCCTTTTAAGACGAAAAGATACGAAGCGGGAAAATGTGCGCTACTTTGGCCAAGATTGCTTTTGGCCGGCCCACAAAAAACAGCTGTTCGAGAGAGCGCCAATTCTCTTTACAAGTCCTCTCCTCTCTTCCGTGTCGTGCTCTTTGTTGGCTTTGTACTCACCAGCCAGCCAGCGTCATTTTTATTATTAGTTATGACCTCATCATCGATTATTGCTGCCGAGTTGTGTCCGCGAGTGTGTGTGTGTGAGTCGGTTGTTTATTCTTCAAGTGTGTGTGTGTGTGTGTATTGAAACGAGTCGGCGCTGAGCAAGCTGCACCACAGCCGCACCGCCCCCACAGGCCCCCACTACACCTCCGGCACCGCCGGCTACCTGTTACCAACAGAGAGCCAGCTGGATTCGGATTGGGAACGCTTGATTGTGGTGGCTAGGGCGCCACAAGTATTGTGCAAACATACACTGAGAGAAAACAACTTTTAAACTTAAATAAGCATGAAGTGATCATAATATTTGCGTAAAAAAATGTATTATTTGCCTTGAAGTGTAGCTTGGAACACACCTTCTTTACAGATTTGTCTCCTAGCCCGCCGCTGATTAATCCCCAAGTGCTTGACATGTGTTCTATAAAGTTGTAGGCAAATATTTAGCGCCTGATTTGAGAGCTTTAGAATGCAAATATATTCTTGGTTCAACTGTTGCCAAGATGCCTACATACATGATTGATTTACTAGCCAGCTCATGCTGGAATGTCAATTGTTTCCCAGTGATGGTGATGATGTGCTAAGCCCCCTCCGAGTTCAATGTACAACATTCTGTCATTTCGGAAATGGCTTATTGTTCAGCGTGGAGCGTAGGTCAATGAAATCATTTCCACAATTGCACTTTCCTTAGCCGCTGGCTGGCTGGCTACCTCCCTGTAATGTTGTGTGTCATTCTGCTTGGCCCCAAGCCAAAAGTATTGCATGCGATGGCTGCTGAAAGTTCATTCATCATTTGCGGAAATGCTGATCTGTTTAATACAATGGATCTACGATGGGTTGTCCATTGACAGCGAAACTGTCAGATAAGCAGGCTGGATAAAGGAGGAATATATGTATCTCTAATAATTCTTTAGAGATAAGCTCATTTTCCATTCACAAGTTCCCCACGTTTGCTTATCGATATTAAGCATTACTACTGAGTGAGTCAGAGGAGATGGATTTCCTCATTCATTCATGCTTGTATTAAAACGCAATAGACACCAATTACAATATGATGGAGTGAATCATCTTCAATTGGCACTTAATCCTAACAGTCTAGGCTAGTTTACCTTCGTAGATTCCTAGATTCAAGTGGAAAAGCTCACGGCGTTATCTTCAATGGGCCTATAAGGTGAGATAGCCCGAGAGCAGAGGACCTTGCCCTTATCTGGTTACAGTTTAATGGGTCACGACTTGTGTATTTCCGGAAGACCACTTCCCCGCCTAATCATGGATTTTATTTACCTGTGGTTTTGGTTTTCTTTTTATTTTTTTTTAGTTTCTGCCATAAAAAACAGAACGCAAAACTTGTTTACCACTAAATGTCGCCGCAGGTTTTGTGGCCCATCTTGCCATACGATTCATAGAATCCACCTGGCCCCAGAATTTCATCATGAATACCGATTATGAATCAGACTTTTGAAAAAACACCCCACCCTGTAGTAGCTTTCCATATTCCAGAAAAAAAATCAACATAAAAGACGATCCCCCAAAAATTGTTTACTTCTTAGTCGGTTGTTAAAGTAGTATAGGTTGGTAGGGAATTAATATTACTTGGAAGGAAGGCTATCGTAGACCTATCTTCTTAATATTCTTAGATTCTCTTAAATATATACTTATCTTATTCCCTTATATTGTTTCAAAAGGATGTTTACTTCTTATTGAATTTAATTGATAAAATAGTATATCTACATACTATAAGTAGATAGGAAAATAAGTGTATTCGAAGAATAGCTGTCTTAGACCTATAGAGGTATTCTAATTCAATTCAATAAGATAGTATACATAGGGATCGCATAGGTATATCCCTAAGTATGCTTTCTTTTCAAGTAACATCCCTTGGAAGAATGGCCCATATAGCATTCTTCTTATAGATTCACTTTTCGTATTTCCCTATATTTTTCGTCTAGAAACGATCTCTTTATTGTATTTCTTCAAGACCAAATTGCCAAATCCATTACATAGATGGATGATGCACTTCCTCTTACACTGACACTTTTCCGGCATTACGGAAATGTTTCGAAAGCCAAAAATTTGTTCATCTTCTGGGGGCCATTGCTCTGGCTCTTTATGGCTCTTTTTGGTTCTCGCATGTTTGTGGTAAACAAAGCATAAATTCTACCGCTACTGCGTATGTTTGCCATCAAAATTCCAACAACACAAGAAAACGTTACAAATATGGCGCAACTTCTCCCACACGGCCAGAAGCAGGCCAAAAATAGAAGGCCCACAGAACAGAAAATAAAAGCCAAAGAGAGGCCAGGCCAAATTTAGTGAATGATGTGAAGGTGTGGGCGCGCCCAGTCCCATGCCATGCTGATGCAGTCATGTAATTGGCATCTAGACGCGTTTGACCGCCGCCTGCACTTGCTAGTTAGTTGGCCTTTTGGCCACTTTTGGTCTACTTGGATGGAATCTGAATATTTGAGGAATCTGAGAGAAGAATGGTTCTTGATAGGAGTATAGTCTGACTACTTAAAAATAATACTATAATAATCTTAATAAGCTATACTGGTGGAAAAACTATGTCGAAATTTGGTGATGATAAATTCCTACACTGAGGATTTCAGGAACTACTAAAATGTAGTCTTATATGTTCTCGACAATGCTTAGAAGTTCTTTTTTATAAAAGATAACTTAGCTGACATATATAGCTACACGGAAAGAAAAAGAAGTATTTCATTTGGTCAAACTAAATTCTTAAAACCTTTCTGATCACTTTTTCATAAAAGCAAGACTTTATAATGAAATTAAAATAAGGTCTAAAAGGTTCTGCCATAGATAAGGTTATCTCGAGTGCCAAGGAGCGCTTCCTTCTAAAGATACAAATATTAATAAGTATATCAAATACCACAATATTTTTTTTTAAAGGAATATATTGTTTGTCTTTCTGTTAAAATAAATTTTCCAATTTTTTTTTTAATATTTCGGAGGACTTAAATCGCTAGTATCTTTTAAAATCTTCTTCTTTTGTATCTTCTTTTAAAGAGACTTAAAGTTACTCTTTTTTCAAAAACTTGAAATTCATTTTATATTTTTAATAAATTTTAATATTTTGTTGTTCTTTTCCAACCTTATCATAATTTTTTTTTAAATCTCTTGAATTATTAAATCGCTTTTTTATTTGTTTTCTGACTTTTATTTGTCACTTGGATCGACGTCATTTCATTGAAATCTAGATTCGCTACCACTAGCCCCTTCCTTCGATCACTGATAAGCCCGAAAGTGAAGTGAAATAATTTCCAACAGAACTCAATTAGAAATGAAAAATATATTTCGGTTCAGTCGTAATTTTCATGCGCATGGAATATCATCATTTTTAAATAAATCTTCAAGTATATTATTATTTTGTTTTTGGTGCGGAATTGTCAACGGAAAAACGCAAAAGATATAAATGAAATTGTGGATGAATTATTTTTGCGTTTTAAGCTTGAACCGTAAGACCGAAACAACGAAAACAGAAACAGTTTCGAAACAGAAATGGAATGGAAATCGAGTAACTGCGTCGCAATATATTTTTCAGCTCGGGCATAGCTCTAGCTACTATATACGATAAAAACTGGCCCAGCATCAGGCATCAGGCATCACCCTTTGCGGCTGGCACACGCTACGTATACGCGATATTTAAATTTTCATTGCACAAATGATGCAATTATCAATGGTGTTGTGGCTCATGATGATGCTACTGACGACGATATCGGGCCAGGGAACGGCAGACGAAGACGACGCGGCCACAGCACAAATCTTGTAATAAATTCGATTTAATAATAATATTCTTTTTTGTTTTTTTGCGCTTATATGGCTTAAATGGGGGCTTTAAAACATGTGTCGCCTCGCGGAACGTGACTGGCATACGGTTCTGATTCTGATTTAAATGATTTATGCAATCCGGACTGCGCCAAGCTCGTCACTTGTTTGGGTTTGGTGTCCTTGGGCGGGTTCATCGCAGTTGTCCCGCCATATAGGGTGCCAGAGTTGTTGAAGTAATTTCCCGAATTGATGTATTTGGGCATTTGTAGTGTTTTTCGATTGAAAATGGAAGTAATCCGAGGGGGGGAATACAGGAAATTTATCATCTACTTAATGGCAGGAGTCGATAAATTCTCGTCAGTCGATTCAAATGCTTAATCTCCTGAGTTGATGATACAACAGGCCACACCGATAAAATCTTAAATTGGGCCATAAATTGTACAATAAACGATTGCCCCGGAGGCAGTCTATTTTTAAATATTAAGTAACGATATATTGTAAGTGCGTCTCGAACTCCCCGCTGATTAGTTCCTTGTGTTCTTTGTACTTATAGAGAAGTTCTGAATGCATGGCGGGCCAAGGCCAGATGCAATGTGGTGCCCGAAGAGCGAACCCAGGAGCTCTTCCACGAGCTAAGCTTCCATCCCAGCCAAAAGCAGAGTGAGTTCTTAAAGGACCCTATCCTAAAGCTGTTTATTTTATGGTTTTCATTGCTTTCCAGTTAGCGAGATGCTTCAAACTGCTAAGAAGGTGGCCCGCAAGGGGGGCAGCAGTCAGCCAAATGGTCTAACCTTTGGACAATTTTGTGTTCTGGCCGCGGATCTAAAGCGCTTCAGGTGAGATCCTTAAAATGACCCTATTATTTGGCCAAAAATATTAATATATTATCTCCCATAGAGCTTCAACGATTTCGAGTCAGCCTTCATACTGCGACTACCAGTCACTGTCAGCTCAGTTGCTCCCCGAACAGAATGATCCCTCCAGCTCCTCCAAGCAGCACCTGCAATCGCCAGCCGCTCCCTCTACATCGTCACCTGCCTACAACAACAAGAAGCCGGAGAACCATGGCACCGAGCTACGGAGCACCAAGTCCTTCAGTAGTGTAGACGATACCAAAAAGAAGAAGAACGCCACCAACGAGCCCGTTGAGGTCTTTCTCGGGGGCTCCTGCAATCCGACCACCTGGCGGGCCGACGTTGCCATACCAGCCCTCAAGGAGCTAGGCATTTCATTCTACAATCCGGTAGGTCTTCAAGATATGGTCTTCAGAACTTCCATCTTACTTTGAAATATTTAAAACCAACAGCAAGTATCCGATTGGACGCCCGATCTCATCGAGTTGGAGCATCGAGCTAAGGAAAAGGCCCGTGTATTATTCTTCGTTATGGATTCGGAAACACGCGCATCTGCTGGTGCCATCGAGGCGGCACACATAGCGGGTCAAAACTGCAAGCAGCTGGTGTTGGTTTTGCATCCTTACAAACCAAATCAGAAGATCCTGAATGAGCCTATTTCGCAGCAGTGAGCTTAACCATTGAAATAAGATAGTAATGACTAGCTAATGAATTAATTATTTCTTGCAGAGAATACCTCGATCTGAATCGCAATCAATTGATACTTAAGGAGCTGGTCTCCCGTCGTGGTCTGCCCGTCTTGGACAACATACCCTTAGGATTGCAGCGCACCAAGGAAATCCTGTCTGGGATCAGGGACCCACCGTCCAAGATATCTTCTATTCTAGAGTAGGTCCTTCCGAAGCATTTATCTTAGAACTGGTATTTATTGAACTATTATTCTTTCAGTACTGTTCGCGGCGCCTTCGATCGTGTTAGCCCCCAAAGCGATCTGCTCACCGTTGAACAATGCAAACGTGCTCTCTTATTCCTAGGCTATGCTCAGAGTTTAGTTAATTTAGACAATCTTAATAAGATCATAATCAATCAGCGCGAGTCGCTGAAATTGCTCCAAACGCACAGTACAAAAACTGGCGTCGATAGTTCGGATGCGGAGGCGGAGGCGGAGGCCGATGATAGCAACTGCGACCTGCCCACCACATCCAGCCCGGAACTTATCGACTTTGATCTGTTCTGTGTGATCTCGGCGTATCTGTCCGTCCTTCAGCAGGAGATCCAGGAAAGCGGCTGCATTTCGCCCATCAAGGGCACCAATGTGCCGCCACCGCAAGTCTACTTTACCAATGGTAGGGATCCTCATTATAAATCCTTCTAATGACTCCCAATTAATCCTTACATTGTCTTCTGTTTCAGCACCCGATGTGGACATTTATTACTCGGCCAGCAAGAACATTTCGCGGACCTCGAGCAACGCCAGTGTTCCGTCCAACAGCAGCAGCGGCATTGGCCACGACCTGGAGCGGCAGGGCTTGTTTGAGCAGCTCAGTCGCAGTCGGGATAGCGGCACCTCGTCGCCCCAGCCAACGGCATCCAGCAGCTTGGGCAAGAGCCCTCGGCCTCAGATTCTCCTCAACGTGGAGTCGATTGAGACGACCGAAATAATCACCACCAAAACAATAGAAACGAAAGCCAATCCTGTGGCTGCCGTGACGGCTGTGCTCACTGAAGAGGAGGAGAGCGACTCCAACGACTCGGTCTTTTCCAGCAGCAGCTCCATAGCCAGTGCTGGCGATGCCTTATGCTGCGGTGGTGGCTTGGATCTTCGCGATGTTTACCTCGGAGGCAGCTGCGTCTTGCGCTCCAAATGGCGTCAAGAACTGGCCGTGCCGTACCTGCAGTCCAAGCGTGTGACCTTCCATACGCCAGCGCTGCACGAAAGCATCCAGCAGCTGCACCAGAACCAAGATGTGGCCGCTGCTCCCCAGCAACCGGCTTCGCAGGAGCAGCAGCAACGATCCTTTGTTCGGACGCGCCGGAAGTGCCGCGGCAACCAGCTGCAGTTGGAGGAGCAAGAGGAGCTGACCGTGGCGGAGGAGTCGCTGAGCTGGTCGCTGCCACCGGTGGCTGTGCGCCAGAGCTTGTACAATCCATCGCTGCTAGACTCCAGCCGAGTTCTACTGTTTGTCATCACCAACGAGACTCGATCACTGGCCCCTATGACCCTGGCCGCCCACTGCATCGGCCTCATGTACAACGTGGTGCTGGCGGTGCAGATGCTGCCCGACGACTGTGTCCTCAATGGCGAAAAGGTAAGATATCATTATCCTAGCCTGAAGGCAATATACTTATGGTGTTTTTTCATGTTTCCAGCTGACTGTGGCGGCCATCAAGGACTATAATCGCGGACGGTCCTACCTTATCGACCTGGCCAAGCGCCAGGGCGTGCCCGTGTTCACCGACATACAGGCGGCCCTCCAATGCACCGTCGCCAAGGTGCAGGCCTACAACAACCGTGACCGCTGCTAATTCGTACCTGTATTCAAGTTCCAGCACGACGTGACAATTAAGCTTATTCTTAAACTAAGGCCTAGTGCAATTTACTCTTAACTTTCCCCACTAACTTGTAGGGTATTAATCGTATTCGGAGAGCCCTCTTCTAGTTAAACTTATACGTAATATGATATACAAGGATAACTGAGTGTAAACCACTAAAATGTCGTCGCCCAGAGAGCGCATTTCGTAATCTTTATGGAGAAAGTCATGCATTCAGCTCCCCTCTCTCTCTCACTATCTCTCTATAATCGCTATATACGCTACATACTACATACATACATATATGCTTTATGCTAATTTATTATTTATTAACTAGATACACGTTGTCCATGTACTAAAGTGACTGTAAATATTTCAACATGTACAAGTCTAGTGCATCCGCAATGCAAAACAAACTAAAATATATACATATATTTTTTATTCGTATTAAGCCTTCAGATATAAAGTAATTACAGAACCATATAAACGACCCAATTATGTAAATGTAAATCCTTAGTGACCCACTGTACCAGTTAGCTGGCAAAAAATATCTCAATAAACAAATTTTTCTAACATATGTATATGCTTGAAGAAATGTTTAGCATTTATTACCCATTTAATAGCGTTCAAGCTCGTTCCAAATCTAGTTCCTAAAAGGTTCATCTATTTTAAACTCGTAGCTGCACCCGGATCGGGTTTAACCAGCCGCAGTCTTCAGGGTGGGACCCGCCAGTTTGCGGTTCTTGATCTGGTAGCGGGCCTTGTAACCGTTCTTGTCGGCCGTGTACATGGTCGTGGTTTCCGTGTCGGTCTTTTCGTCGTACGTGGAGTAGGCACCCATCACCACGAGTTCCTGCTTGTCGGTGCCCGGATTGAGGAGGACGCCCATTTCCTCGCGCTTGCTGCCATTGGGCTCCTCCAGACTAGAATCGGAAAGTCGAGTTGGTGAGAGGAGCAAGTGAAAGTGAAAGGACCTTACTTGAAACGGTAACCCTCTTGGGTCGGAGCTTGTTTGTAATATTGCGACACGATGGTCGGAAAAAGGGCGTCCAGGAGACTGTCAGCCGAGCAGGTGGATGCCATTAGGGCCACCATGGCAGCGAAGATTACCTTAACATTTCAAAGCCATGTTATAATCCTTTTGGTATCCTTTCGTTCAAATACTTACCAGCTTTGTCGAAGCCATGATGTTATCAGCTACACTGAAGCATCTTCAGATCAATCTTTCCCCATTTATAAGCTTTTTTCTGGATCGATTTTTTTTGGAGAATTCCAGCCAATATGATGTCAGAACAATAGCTGCTTCTAACTATCCCACCTTCTTGTTTTATGCAAAATCGGGTTAAACCGGTGCCGTTTATTAGCAGTCTAAACTAAAAAGGCAAATGCACCAAATAGACATTCTCCACAAAAAATGAAACAAGAATATTGAGTAAAAAATGTAGTTGATAATCGAGGTGAGGAATCGATCTTAATGTCAGTTTTTTTTTTAAGATTATCCCAATAATTTTTCTTTAATATTTTAGGTTTTTATATGTTTATTAAAAACAAGTATGCATTATTCTGTGAGAGAGATTCTCCATCGCAAGCTTTAAATGACGATATCCTTTATCCATATATTTATCCTGCTGCGGACTTTAAAACAAGTTCCGATACAAAGTTTTTGTAGTTTCCTGAGTTACCCAAGTTGTCTGGAAGCTCTGACGGTAAATAATATAATTGGAACAAATCCTGGCCTACTCGGTGTAGCAGAATTCCTGCTAAGCCTTTGGAAACCATCAAACCAAAAGAAGCAATGAAAATTATCTAAAACAAAAATATTATAGCCATAAACATTTGTTTTTAGGTTTCCACTAATTTACCAATTTTGTAAAAGCCATGAGAGTTAATCCTTATACTTTGCAAGTATTACTTTTAGTAATGATTTTTTTAGTTCCTTTTATAGTAAAATATCTTTATGCATCAATTTCAAACTAATTTCCAGCTTAAAAGGCGTAAAATACAAATTAAAACTGAATGCCTAAGAGACATTTAAAAAAATGAATTATTTAAGCCAAATAACATGGTTATTTAAAGGAAAATATTGTTTTATTTTAGTAAAACTATTATACTTCTATTTATGTATGTTTTTGACAACAAAAATTTAGTCTCACACGTTTATCCTATTACAATAAAAATTATATATAAATTATATATACACAAATTATAAATTAAAAATACCCAGTGGCGGATTTAACAGGTGGGCAAAGGCGCGCTTGCCCACTGGGCCCCCCCGACGAAAGGCTTTCAGGGCCCCTCGTGCTGAAAGTTACACCTTCGGTTCCTTTTCCACAAATCTGCATCAAAATCTGGGAACAAAAAATTTTAAAGATTTTTTGTCAAATTTTCTGGGCTGTCCCCTTCAAAATGTGCAGAATGCATGGGGAGCCCCATATGACCCACTGCGAAGAACATATCTTAGGAAATATTCATCCGATTCTTGAACGGAATACCTTAAACGATTTGTGGATCGATTCTTCATAAATCTGCATCAAAATCTGGGAACAAAATTTTAAAGATTTTTTGTCAAATTTTCTGGGCTGTCCCCTTCAAAATGTGCAGAATGCATGGGGAGCCCCATATGACCCACTGCGAAGGCCATATCTTAGGAAATATTCATCCGATTCTTGAACGGAATACCTTAAACGATTTGTGGATCGATTCTCCATAAATCTGCATCAAAATCTGGGAACAAAATATTTTTAAGATTTTTTGTCAAATTTTCTGGGCTGTCCCCTTCAAAATGTGCAGAATGCATCTTAGGAAATATTCATCCGATTCTTGAACGGAATACCTTAAACGATTTGTGGATCGATTCTTCATAAACCTGCATCAAAATCTGGGAACAAAATATTTTAAAGATTTTTTGTCAAATTTTCTGGGCTGTCCCCTTTAAAATGTGCAAAATGCATGGGGAGCCCCATATGACACACTGCGAAGGCCATATCTTAGGAAATATTCATCCGATTCTTGAACGGAATACCTTAAACGATTTGTGGATCGATTCTCCATAAATCTGCATCAAAATCTGGGAACAAAATATTTTTAAGATTTTTTGTCAAATTTTCTGGGCTGTCCCTTTCAAAATGTGCAAAATGCATGGGGAGCCCCATATGACCCACTGCGAAGGCCATATCTTAGGAAATATTGATCCGATTCTTGAGCGGAATACCTTAAACGATTTGTGGATCGATTCTCCATAAATCTGCATCAAAATCTGGGAACAAAATATTTTTAAGATTTTTTGTCAAATTTTCTGGGCTGTCCCCTTTAAAATGTGCAAAATGCATGGGGAGCCCCATATGACACACTGCGAAGGCCATATCTTAGGAAATATTCATCCGATTCTTGAACGGAATACCTTAAACGATTTGTGGATCGATTCTCCATAAATCTGCATCAAAATCTGGGAACAAAATATTTTTAAGATTTTTTGTCAAATTTTCTGGGCTGTCCCTTTCAAAATGTGCAAAATGCATGGGGAGCCCCATATGACCCACTGCGAAGGCCATATCTTAGGAAATATTCATCCGATTCTTGGGCGGAATACCTTAAACGATTTGTGGATTGATTCTCCATAAATCTGCATCAAAATCTGGGAACAAAATATTTTTAAGATTTTTTGTCAAATTTTCTGGGCTGTCCCCTTCAAAATGTGCAAAATGCATGGGGAGCCCCATATGACCCACTGCGAAGGCCATATCTTAGGAAATATTGATCCGATTCTTGAGCGGTATACTTTAAACGATTTGTGGATCGATTCTCCATAAATCGGCATCAAAATCTGGGAACAAAATATTTTTAAGATTTTTTTCAATTTTCTGGGCTGTCCCTTAAATGTGAAATGCATGGGGAGCCCCATTACCCACTGCGGCCATATCTTGGAAATATTGATCCGATTCTTGGATACTTTAAACGATTTGTGGATCGATTCTCCATAAATCGGCATCAAAATCTGGGAACAAAATATTTTTAAGATTTTTTGTCAAATTTTCTGGGCTGTCCCCTTCAAAATGTGCAAAATGCATGGGAAGCCCCATATGACCCACTGCGAAGGCCATATCTTAGGAAATATTGATCCGATTCTTGAGCGGAATACCTTAAACGATTTGTAGATCGATTCTCCATAAATCTGTATCAAAATCTGGGAACAAAATATTAAGATTTTTTGTCAAATTTTCTGGGCTGTACCCTTCAAAATACCCTTCAATGTACCCTGAAAAAATTTTGCCCACTGGGCCTTTTTCCTTAAATCCGCCACTGAAAATACCACAAAATATTATGGATTTTGATTCATTTAAGTTTACTAATAGTATGTGTATGTATGTATACTATATGTATGTATTTATGGCAGCGAAGTTAAGCTCAACATTTCAAAGCCAAATTATACTCCTTTTGGTATCCTTTCATCCCAATACTTCAAGTATTTTATACAAATATTTTTCCTCAAAATTTTAATTCATACGTATAAGAACATATTAAATAAAAACAATTTATTTATCCTCAATATATATAGAAATGTAAGGCTGTTCTAGTTAAACTAACTAAACCGGTTAATATGATTTAAACTTTAAACTATAAACATTGCAAAAATTCCAATGCCATTACAGGTCAAAAATTTAATTTCTAATTTCGGAAGCTGGTTTTTACCAATCTTAGCAAACACCGGGAAGGAATTAAATTTTCATTAATTTTTGACTTTTAAAAGTCAAATACCAAATTTTAATTTATAAAATAACTTATAAAATAAGCAACAGTATTTTTTGTCAATCTGAGGGCTCTTATTAAATCTCAGTATTTTCACACAAGAATGAATTTCAGACACCAATGGAAATATACCCTGAGCGGGAGCAGGGAGCTATTCAGCACGAGGCTTTTATTGGCAACTAAATTAATGACCCTTGCCAATTCCAGCCACTCTTAAAGGTATAAATGGAGCTATGTACTTTTAGAATGATTCAGTGCGGTTTGATCTCGACATGGTTGTGTCAAGAATGGTTAGTATTTGGTTTCCTGGTACTCTTTATTTAAATTATTAATTGAAATATTTAGGTTTTCCTGGCCGCCTTGGTGGCCGTAATGACTACCACCTGCTCGACAGCCGGTCTCCTGTATACTTTTTTTCCATCCATCATATCCGAGTTCTACAGACAGATTCCCACCAGGGAGGGATACAGATTCAAGTAAGGCATATCCGGATATTGATAAAAATTCCCTATATTATCCCATTTACTGTTTTAGTCATGAGGAGCCCAATGGAAACAAGCGCGAGGAAATGGGGGTCATATTGTATCCAGGAACGGACCAGCAGGAGCTCCTTGTGATGGGTGCCTATAGCTCCTACAATAGCCACACTGACACCCAGACCACGACCATGTACACGGCCGACAAAAATGGCTATAAAGTACACTACGAAATCAAGAACCGAACATTGGCGGGAGCCACTTTAAAAGCTGCTACTGGATAAGAATAAATTAAATCCATAATTATAATTTATATATTATTATAAGAAAATAATCTATAGTTTATTTTTTCAACAAATAACAGTCTACTGTTTCAAACTGGCGCCACTTGAAAGCTTTAGAGAAGCTCTTTCTGGTGACAACCCTAGAGGAAAGCAGTGCCACCAGACCTGCGCATTTTTAGCCACACTGGCAGCTCCCCAGCCGAAGATCGGCAAAGTTCGACGTGATGGACGTCACACTCTCACTCTCCGCAAATTGCTTTGTTGCTATTTTCGCGTGGCTCCGTTTTAAACTTTTGCTAAACATAATATTGAAAACAAAATGTGATTTAGCGGCTTGCTGCACACGCTTTTTACCTTCTGTGTGTGTGGTGCGCGCATAGTGGCTAATGCTATTTTTTATTGCTGGTGGCTACATTTGATTTCAGGCGACTTTGATTTCAGTCGCCAATTGTCAATCGGGCCGCCGGGTCGACCGACCATCGTTCTTTGCTGCCTCCTCCACTGACGAGTATCGCCGCGGTTGTGTGTGTGTGTGTGTTCGCCAGCGGGTTCAATCAACTGTGTAGTTTGCCAGTCGGGCACATTCCGCCGCACTCTTTAAAGCCGTGTTTAAGAACCACAGCACGCTCCATTTATGCAATAGGTGCATATTAAAATCGGAAAGTAAACGAACGAATATTGTTTGGCAAAAACAACTACGTAACATTTCAGTGCAACATTTTAGCCTAGAAGCTAGAAGCTGGTGGGTGTGTGTGGGTGTCTGTATGTCTGTCTGTGCTACTGAGCAAACAGCAAGTGCTTCTTGCTGAGAGAGAGAGAGCCAATGTTTAAGAGACAGCCAGCAAGTGATAAGTGAGAGGCTCTCCCCCTGCGGGGCATTGTTGGCGCTTTTATAACGGACCCTCCACAGAAGCCGTAGTTGAGTTCAAGTGACGTTCGAAGACGGCAGCGCAGTAGAACCGAAACAGAAACAATAACAATAACAATACAAATGGCAGCTAAATATTAAAGTTATATGTGCCGTTTGATTGATATAAATGAATATGCAAGCGGGATAGTTATACAACTGGAAGGGAAAACACACACAACCGCTTCATGCCGCTTTCATGTGCAAGTGCGCCGAGCTTTAATTAAGAGCCAGAGATGAATATCACAGCAACAAGTGCAATAAAAAACAAAACCCCTCCGAAATAAAGAGAAGAGAAGCGTGTAAAATACAGTGTGCCAAAAAAAATAAAGCAAAAGTAAACCAAAACCAAATAAAAATATACAATATCTGTGGATATATAGAAAGGCAGAAATTATCCGGCAGCGACTTTAATTATAACCAGCCACGAAATCGCATAAAGAAATCAACAAGTGTGTGTCTCGCTTTCATTCATGCGGTCAACTCAACAACAACAACAATAAGAACAACAATAACAATAACAAAACAACAACAGCTGGCTGATAAGGGGCCCTGCTGCAGTTGGGAGAGTTAGTATATAGTCTAGCCGGTGAGCTTCAAGTAAGTCAAGTGTTCTTAGTAACTGCACTCGCTTATCTCGCCATTGGAAGGCCTTAACTATTTTAGTTGCTGTTTGCAAAACATTTTAGTTGGAGGAGCTTTAGGGGTTTCCATCAGCAGAGTGGACAGTGCAAGACGAAAGTGTATAAAAGAGCTTTTCTAAAATAAATGAATATTATTTAAAAACATACTAATTATTAAACAAATAAAAATTCAAAATCAAATAAAATTTATTTCACTTTCTATGAGGTATGAGGGTATAAGTATATAGGGATGATCCATACTGTACTTGGATAAACAATCAGAGCTATCTACTGCCCGGCACGTGTGGCGGCGTGTCAATAGGGTTGGGTTAGCTAACGACAGATCTCAATGATGCGAGAGATCGGAATGGCCCGGTCTGGGCAAATACTAGTGGCCCGCCAGTTAGATAACCCGATTAGCCAGGTATTAGCCCGACTAAGCCCCAAAAGTATGCACTCCAAGTCGGTAGGATCAAGGCAGTGAAAAGTGTCTAACATTTAATATGATTTGGAAGACACACCAAAGAACAAAAGAAACTGCCAAGGCAGCTAAAACTTGGAAATCCTGGCCGTGTTCAGGGCCTCGGTCATCAGGCGCCCGAAGTCAGAGTGAACCATGGTGAAGAGCTTGACGGCCCGCTCCTGGAGGAACTGGCTCGCCTCGGTGAGGTGCTCGGACAGGTTGCGGATGAGACGCTTCCGGCCGCAGTTGTCCAGGGTGTATGTCCAGAAATCGGTCACCTGGCTAAAGTTGTCCTCGGTGTCGCCGCTCATGAAGCGGTAGACATCGCCGGTCAGGGGGCAGCAGGTCTGCAGGGCCAGGGCGCGGGGACTCTCCTTGGGGCCGCAGAACGAGTTGGGGAAGTAGTTGGGCGCCCCGTTCTGGTTGTCCGTCACCGTCATGGGGCCGTCCCGCTGGAAGTTCCTTACGTTGACCCTATAGGGACAGTTCACGGGTATCTGCATGTAGTTGGCGCCCAGGCGGTGGCGCTGGGTGTCGCCGTAGGCGAAGAGTCTTCCCTGGAGCATCTTGTCCGGCGAGGCCTCGACCCCCGGCACCATGTGGGCCGGGCTGAAGGCCAGTTGCTCGATCTCCGTGAAGTAGTTAGTGGGATTACGATCGAGGATGATCTTGCCGACTGGTATCAACGGGTAGTCCTTCTGGGGCCAGACCTTGGTGGCATCGAAGGGATTGAAGCGGCACTTCTTGGCCTCCTCGTTGAGCATTACCTGGAGAAAGGATTTGGTATTAAACCTATAGGATCGAAGCTAGCTATAGGGTTCTAATCCCCACCTGAATGTACATGCTCCAGCTGGGATAGTTGCCCTTCTTGATGGCGTTGTACAGGTCCCTGATGGAGTAGTCTGGATCGTGGGACATGAGCTCCTCGCACCGCCGACTGTCGAGGTTCTTGATGCCCTGATCGGTCTTAAAGTGGAACTTGACGTACTGCGTCTCGCCACTGGGGTTGACCATCCGGTAGGTGTGCACTCCGTAGCCGTGCATGTGCCGGTAGCCATCGGGGGTGCCCCGGTCGCTGAAGTACATCACCAGGGCATGCAGGGTCTCCGGACGAAGGGTCATAAAGTCCCAGAACATGTCCGGATCCTTCAGATGGGTCTGGGGATTGCGCTTCTGGGCATGGATCAGGCTGGGAAACAGAGCGGGGTCCCTCACATAGTACACTGGCATGTTGCAGCCAACGACGTCCCAGATGCCGTCATCGGTGTAGAACTTGAGAGAGAATCCCCGCTGCTCTCGAACCGTGTCTGCTGATCCGTTCTCCCCACACGCCACCGAGAACCTCATGGCGATGGCGGTGCGCTTCTTCACCTTCTCGAAGATGGATGCAGCGCAGAACTTGGTTATGTCGTGGGTGCACTCGAAGTAGCCAAAGGCCCCGGCTCCCTTGGCGTAGGCCACGCGTTCGGGGATGCGCTCCCTATCGAAGGAGCTCATCTCGTCCAGAAAGTGAAAGTCCTGCAGCAGAGCCGGGCCTCTGGGTCCCACCGTCATGATGGCGTCCTTCACGCCAATCGGAGTGCCGCTGGAGGTGGTGCACTCCTTCTGCGCCTCGGAGTCATTGTTCTTGAAGTCGATTAGCTGATTGGTGGCCGGATCGCGAGAACACATTTTTCAAATTTCGAAGTGGAACGATTGTTTGGATAATGTTTGGAAATACTGACTAATAATTCTGAATTTGGCTAAAATAAAACTAATTTCCGAGTATTGTTTCAACGAACCACACACGTGGACTTGGGGAGTGTGTCTGGTCTGAGTCTAATGTGAAGTTTAGTTCCAAGTCGACTTGGACTTGAAAAGTATCTGAAAAGATTCATTTTATTTCAAAGATATCCATATTATAGACTCTTTCGATATTGCCTCAAATACCATTCGGTCTCGGGCGACAGTCACGAGCGTTCAAAGGTGAAAAAAGTGACAGCACCGCCGAAGGGGTCTGCGTCAGTGGGACGATAGGTGATAACGCCTGATAAAGGGAGCTGGGAACCATAGAGCCCATGGGGCTTATCGGCTGTTCTGCCACTCGAAGTTCTGCCCAAATGCCACGCCAAAATAAAACAAATTCGCATAATGGTAAACGGGTTGAAGAAACAATAAATGTCTGATAGTCAGAAACTCTGTTTTTGGGCGTTATCACCAGTGAGAGAATACTGGAATACCTTCTCTTTTGTGCCGCCATGGGTGTCTTTTATCTTGGCCCTCTCCACAAACCATTGAAGATTATGATTTGGGGTTTTTAGGGTTATAGATTCCACACCTGGGGCTAGGGCTGAGGGTCTGCTTTGGTTTATGGAGCTCCAATGCAGGTAGGACTGGCCTATCGCCGATATGGGATTGTAAAATAAATGAGTCCTCCCCCTAAAAAAAATCCAATAGCCGGTTCGGTTGTCAAGTACTCCTCGAACTGGAACTGATACCTCTACATTGTGGACACAAACGGGTAAACATACATATTGTAGATTTACAGGCGATACTTCAGGCCGATTATCGGACAACCATTAAAACTTTAATTTGTTCTGTTGGTTAAACCAACATCGGATTGATATACGACCCGGTAATCAACTACACTTTCCCCCACTTACAGTCGCGGGCCATGGCATTATGACGGAGTGACTGGTGACTGGATGGATCCCTGTGCCACGCCCTCAACGCAACGCAACCAAACAATGAAGCACCCGCAGGACTTGAGTGCCACCGAAGGACACCAGCTCATGAAGGTCAACAAGGTGGAGAAAATGGAACAGGAGCTGCCAGAGTCCGGTAAGTCCCATCACAAACATGGTGTTGTTTCCGGTGAAATTCTAGATGGCACTCGATGGGGCCTTATCACTCCCATATTTATGATTCTTAACTAGGATTTTAAATCAGCTCCGCGGCAACAACTTGAGCGGCAAACGCGTTTAACACGTGCGACTCCCAAATAATTTCGGAAATGTTTTCATCAACAGCTTCAGGCTTCATTAAAAATAGACTGCCATAATCTTGATAAGATGCCGCAGGAGCTGATAATCCAGCGTTCGTTATAAATGTTTATAATCTTAATTGATTTGGAAAAGTTTTTGCGCAGCCGGCGATGCCAGTCGCGGGTTTCAATTGTCAAGAAGCCCAGATGGAGGCGAATACCAGCGAATATGGCTCCGGCTCCGGTGTGTGTGGAAAACAAAGAAAAACGCGCACAAAATTAAGCGAAGTGAAACGTAATCGTAATGTTTAACTTAACCCCAAAGGGTTAAACATGCGCAACAGCAACAGCAACAGCCAGTACTCGGTGCGACTAAATACCCGGGGCTTACAAGCCAGCCCTCCAGCGTCTCCAAGCCAGCTTGTTGAATATTTATAGAGACGATCGGGCCGGTGACTTGGCTACAGAGGCTCCACACACTTGCAGCCAGGCGGCGGCTTCCAGTGGGCTAAGGTGTCACCTTAGTCGATGACATGACGACACTTTTTCGCGACTGAATTCATACTTGCAGTACTTTTGTTCTCCTGTAATTCCATTATATTATGCATGGGAGAGGTTCAGGGGCCTGAGCCGCTAAACGCTTTATAAACTAAAGGCCCTCCCGCCGCTGATATGATAGGGGGGTTATCGCCCAGGCGCGAACTTCATTGATTTGCATTCGTTGGCCAAGCGGCTTTCGCAATTCTCCGCCTCCCAGTCTATTCTGGTCTTTTGTTTTTATTCTGGGTCAAGTTTTAATAATTAAAAAAAGAATCGTCCTCTTATCTTCTGTCCAGACAAACCAACCAAATAGCCCACATACCATATATTCGATATACTTTTGTGAGCCTATTCTTGTGATATCCGCTTCCGACATTCATTCATTTCCATAGAAGATAACCGAAGAGTGTCTTGCGTCACATGTGATATTAAGTAAACACCAGTACATATCTTTGCTTGAGGTCTGGAAGGGTTTCGAAATCATAATTGACAAACATGGAAATATAATCATGATATTAATCATGAGGTCTTGATCAGAGCTAAAGCTAAACCCCATTATTCAATGGAAGAGAAAAGGCTTTTGAGTCGAGTGGCTGGCGGTTAAGTATGTGGGTTCTTAGTGAACCCGATTCCGAGATGCGCGCTCCTTACACAATCCACTTGTCCCAGCTATCCTCACACTTGAGCTAATTCCCCATTTAGGTAAAGCCTCCCTCGGCCTCAGCTTTATTCAATTGCGATGCCTATTATTTCTTATTGTTTCACGCAGGAGATGCCCGGCCCAGAGTCGGAGGCAGCGACGAAAACAGGAAAGCGAGCAAACTACTCAGCCAATGTGGACACATTTCACTTAAAGTTGTCGCAGCTAAATGAAGTGTAAATAGTAAATTGCAGTCAAACATTATGAATACCATAAGCGTCATTATTGTCAGTGTCATTATTGTCGCCAGCACAATGGCTATGATCATTGCAATCACGTTACAGTCAGCCGACACTGGCTGATCATGATCATGAAGCCGATGACGAGCCACACATGCAAATCACATGTGTATCCCATGGCTTTGGGGGGACTCTGCCAGCTCTGCCACCGCGGTCTCCACTCTTCGGCTCTGGCTCTATAAAAATGTATGCAAATAAAATAATAATTCTTGAACAAAAAATGCACTTGAAGAAGCACCGCGAGGAGGTTCGGCTGGAAAGCGAAGAAAGGGAAACGAAAGGCTGGCTAATTTTCATAATTCTCTGGAAATAGCACTCCGCCAGGGCCGCCACATGTGGCCGGGAAAAGGGACAGCCATCAGCCCGGCCGACATGACATGCATTTTATTTTAATTCTACTTTTTACTCCTTCTGTTACATTATTTACATCACCATCGCACCACCACACCCCATGCAGGAAGCGTATCTGGTGGATAGAAACACCAGGAGTTGCTGGAGTCGGATTCGCGATTGTGGGGACAATTGGGTATGTGATTCACTCAGCGGATCGGTGGGTCTCTGTTTCGAGCCACAACATATGCGTCATATAGAGGCACAGATTGCCGATGTAAACATATTTTGTAATTGCACTTAATGCTATCTCTCAACCCCATTTCGAGGGATCATCCAGATGATGTTCTGCATCAATGCCAGAGTGGAAGAAGCGACAGAATGAGGATATTCTTAAGACAGAGGTCGGAGTTGAAAATGCTATCTCATGTCGTGACAATTTCTCCTCAAATACTATCATAATTTTAGTAATGAAATGACTAATTCGGTAACCCAAGCCACAGAAGCATACCTCCCCAATGGGTGGTGATTTCGATGATGACGCCGATCGGGCGGCATTCGAAGTGAAATGAAAGCAAAGTGCACAGTGAGTGGGCAACTGGGGCCGGCGGGAACCTCCGTTTCGTCACAGAAATTCCGCCGTATAAAGTACATCGGAATCGGAATCGGAATGAAAGAGGCGACGTCGTGCTGACTGCGATTATACCGAGGAACAACAATCAGTGGAGTCGGATGCCAAAGGAATAGATCTGAAAATTTCTTTCAATTGAATCACAAAATATCAGCCACTCATTAGATGACTCCATAGTCTAGTCACTTCTGTAAACTCCGAATTTTCCAACAGATTTCCGACTGTTTTCAGAATATTGCTGATAATGGAGAGCCGGTTCCTTGAACGGCTTGAGAGGCGCTTAGTAATCAGTTGTGGAAAAGCCGTATCATCAAAAACAACGACCTATAATGGATCATACTGTGTATGTGCAGCTCTGTGTCTATCTCTGTCAGTGACTGTCTGAGGCGACGAGGCTGCAGCTCCGGTTCTGATAAGAGACCCCGGAGCCATCAAACCAGCCGAAAGTGAAGTGATCTATAAATAGGAGATTCGGGATCTATCTATACTTAAGATTCTAGAGAAATAATTGAAGATCTAAGTAATCCTCTCTTTCAAAATCTCTACTAAAATGTATCTTAAACTTGTATTCTAATAATAAGGTCCATCAATCCTAAGAACCTTTGGTAGTCTCCCTAAAAGTGAAAAGGAAAATAAGCCATAAAAACTATTTATTTAAATGAAAGCTCAAAGCATACACAGCTCCAAACAAATATATGTACGACCTGATATGGTTCTAGTATGTATGCCATTAAACAATTTGAATTATATGTACACTGGTCTATACTAGTAAGCCTGCCAGTGTGTCGGTGAGATTCGCTTAATCTTAACTGATAAGACCGACTCGTCGGAGTTGTGCGCATGCCCCCGATCCAGAAAACGATCGAAAGCGATCCAGGCCGATCCGAGCTGTTAACAATTTTGCCAAGACGACCGCTGCTGCAATAGTAGTAATCAGTGGGCCAACAACAAAGGCGATAGCCGCTGCCATGCCATAGTAATATTATTTATTAAAGTTTTTTTGTACGATCGCTGGGAGTACTCGGTCGGTCCGGCTAGCTTTGAGCCGAACGATCCCCGCCAAAGCTTTCGTCGGCTCGATGTGGTCGGTACTGTCGGTGCCGTCGGCTTCTATATCTACAACAAATAATATTAAGACAGTTAGTACGTGTTGAGAACATTATTTGAGGTTTAGTCAGTGTTTTGCACTAGGCGGTAATAATACAGACACCGCAGGCTCTCACCCTTCCCACACAAAACAAAACAAGCCGGCTTTTAAACTCTAATTTTTCTTAAAAGAAGTTGAATAGAAAAAGGACTCCTAATTGTCGATTTTAGCTATCGCACGGGACATTTTTTTGCATTTATTTATTTATGCAACTCGCAAGGGGACTTACCCCAACACATTTATGTAAATAGACATATCGAATCGAACCAATTGCCGACGGTTCGGTTTCGTTTCGGCGTTCTTAGTGGTGCGGTGCGTTGTTTTTCTCTCGCTCCTTAACTTTCATCGCTTCAGCTATTTTCGGTTTTAATTTGTGCAAATATTTAACTTTACTTAAGTGTGTCTCTGGCCCCTCACCTTAGCTGGCTGGAAAAAAAAAACAGCACCAACAGCAGCGGGAATTATAAAAAAAAAATGTTCACCAACAATAACAACAGCAAGAGCAACAGAAACGGCAGCAACAGCGACAAAAGCAACAACCGTTTGTGAAAAAGTCAATTTGCAAAAGAGTGTGAAGGATTTCCAAATATTTACCTCAACACTGTTTTCCCAAGCACTGCCCACGTCGGCCATCTTCATTATTACGCGCCAGGAACTAGACCCTAGTCTCTCTCACCCAGTCAACAAAATACCCAAATCGCCAGACAACCGACTACCTAATCGGTCTAAGCTTATATTAAAAACGTAAATTATCAGTCCGGACTAAAAAAAAAACGCAGTCTAAATGTACGCCTCAATGTTGCCCAGTTTGCTGAACATGAAAACGGAGAATCTGACCAATTCCAGTTACGACGATGCCTTTCTTCTGGAGGAGAATCTGCTGCATATGATGGGTGAGTGGGTGCAGGACATTTAGAATGATTTCATCAAGTGATAGGAACCAAATCTAAAATCCTCCTATATCCTTCATAAAGCTCTCATCTCACAGAACAGACCATGTTTTCAATGTGCTTTGTTCCCAGAGCTGAATTCTTCTGATAAGATACCTATAGCTGTGCTCATGACAACATCCAAATCAATTGGTGGCCAAAAATCAGGCGATCTCTCCTCATTATGTGGCCATCGATTTGCAATTTCTGTTGGTAACTCCAGCACTGTGCACTGTAACTCGTTGGCCCATCCCTGAGGCTATATCTATATGTGGCTATATCTGGCCAAAGATAAGTGGGGTTATTATGTGCGAGACTTACTTTGTGGGTGGTGGATTTATC